TTTGTTAAAATCAAATTTAAACATATACTTTTCAAAACCTATTTTCAGACATGCTGATAAATTGTAAAAAATCACATTATAGACATTTCTAGGTAAGACTTTTGAGCTCTGAAGCTTATAGACACAGGGGTTGGCTACACATAGGTGAAAGAGACATTCTGAAATTTTATGTGGTTTGATTACTAAAGTGTTAGAACTTTGGAGTGACACTCTTTTTCTCAAAGTCAGTGGCCTGCACAATGAACATTGATGAGATAAGTGTCCTCACACCTGTAGTAGTTTGCATACTGTCAATGGCCCATTAGTCTGGAATGTCACTGCACCCCACACCCATCACTTTGGAAAGGCAGTTTGAAACGCAAGAAAAGTACGCAGTATAAATAGAGGTGCCATAGATCTTACCTAAATCTGTTATTGGAACTATTAGTTCAAAAATTGGTCAGAATAGTGAGAATGCTGAACATATGTCACGGTCGGGCAGAAGGCGATCCGGGAAGCAGGGATACGGAGGCAGGAAGTAGGACAAATGGGGTTTATTGGAGAAAGACGGGACCGGGGAAGCACAACAGGTAACATTAATGAAAAGTCTGGGGAAGACTGACTCAGACGAGGACTAAATACAAAAGACAAGCCAGACATAACAGGACACAGGTGATCACAATCAGGGCTGAACACGAGGTAACGAGGTGGGCGTGGCACACAGTAGGAGCGGACGAGCGGGGCGTGACAACATAGGCTGTTAGGCCCCTATAAAAGAAAAGCAACTGCTGTGTGGCCATAGGAAGTTTTTCACTACTCCCCAATGAACTTTTTCCACTCTGATAAAGCTTTTTTGTAAGATGACGTAGTATCCCGATCGTGAATAGCATCCTGCAGGACTTCTGTCTGAAGTATGGACAGAAGTGTTGCAATGCATTTTGGATAGGTCAGATTAAATGTATAGTAATATGCCAGCACGTAGAGCACACCGGTGTCGATGTTTTCTTTTTGAAAAGTTGTCACAGGAGTAGACCCAATGGCCAGCATGCAGTTGCTATCACAAACAATTAAAACAGTAGTGAAGACTGGTCTTCGCTGAAGGTAAGTGTTTGGGTTTTCTGTGGGCTACAACATAGAAAGTACAGAGTTGTTCTGTCAGGAAATGCTGAATTTAAATCAGATGTTACGTCTTTTTGACTTTTTAACGATTTAAGATTTTATCATTGCATTTGCAATCCAATTTACAAATTGGGCAAGACCACCTCTATTACAACAGAAGTCCTTAAGCAAAATTCCTTTAAATGATTAATGATTCAGATGAACTTCATAGATGAGGCCTAAAGCATTCCTTATATTCACATTTATATTTATTCATTTATCTGAGTGACCTGCATTCAGTGATTACAGGTAAATACCACCTGAAGAAGCTTAGTGTAAAGTGGTCTAAAACACAATGTCAGAAGTGGGAATTGACCATGGGTCTCTTGATAGCCAAGTGCTTTAACCATTAGGTTACTGCCACCCTCATCTAAATACCACATTAAAATAATAGATTTTTTACCTCAAGAACATACACAAGTGCCTCACTCGGATTCCTCATTTTCTTAGGCGGTGCCACAGGTGATGGAAACATTTCAGGCAGGGCCTTCATCATGGTAATAGATTGTGTCACTGTTTGAGAAATACATTAAAAATCTCATTTTACATTATTTTGCTGTGATGTTGGTCAGTCTTACAAAAAGCTGGAAATGCAGAGGTGTGTGAACTGTTGTTACTAAAGAATGATCAACATAATACAGTGGTACCTCGGTGTACAAACTTAATTCATTCCAGCAGGCAGTTCAATTTTAGAAAAGTTTGAATTCCGAGGACCTGTTTCCCATAAAAAATAGTGTAAAAGTAAATAAAATGTTCCCGACTCCTAAATATAAATGTATTTAACCTTTCTGTGTGTTGTGTTGTGAATTGTGACTATGGCCACTTAAGAAAGGCAGCAAAACAAAAATACTGTGCTGAGATCAGTTAGTGGATTGTTACGGGTTAGAGCGAGAGAACCAGACTACATATGTAAGTCTCAATAAAGTGTCACTGCTGTGGAAGACACCAACAAACAAAAGTTCTCAGTCATACAAGTTCTTTTCAGGTCAGAAAAAATGGTTCAAACTCTGAAATTACTGCTGTAAACAGAGGACAAATTTGGTCAAAAAAATAAAAAAGTGTTTGACCTCCGAATTGTACGAGTTCTGGAGTGTTCATAGCCAAGGTACCACTGAATTCACATATATATTTTCAATCTCTGGTCTAGGTCAAAGGCTCTAAAATAATTTCTGAACTACCTCAACACAGTTTTGCTATTATGTAAACTCTGAGTACACAGACCTGCAGCCTCTGATTACCTGACTCAGTGTATCAGCAGCTGTAACAATAACAACAACAGAAGTAGTATATTCTGAAAAGAATCAAACCTTTGTCCTGTGTTGTCGGTGGTCTCAAAACCTTTTTAAAGACCCCGTAGAACTGAGCTTTCCCATAAAAGCTCTCCCAGCGGGTCTTTAGTTCACAGATAAAGTTAGGGTTACATTTGTCAAGGATGCGACGAAGTTCATCCATTACCTGGCAAAAGAAAAAAACAACAACACAAAATTAGTAAGTTAATTAAATTATAAAATTATAGTTAGGAACACAGTTATAAAGCATACATATATACTTACTAGGGGTGGAGCCGAACCCGAATACGGTATTCGGAAAGGCACAAATAATGTGTTTTTTACGAATACTTATTTCGA